GTAAAAAACAAAGACTTTCTTTCAGCTTCTTCATTGTGCTTCACGGAAACATGGCTGTGTGATTTGATTCCGGACACTTCGCTACAACTAGCAGGATTCCATCTTGTAAGATCGGATCGTGACATAGCACTCTCCGGCAAGACGAAAGGCGGTGGTATTTGTTTTTACATTAACAGTGGCTGGTGTGTAGATGTCACAGTGATTCTGCAACATTGTTCTCCACTCCTTGAATCAATTTTTATAACCTGTCAACCGTTTTACTCGCCTCGCGAGTTCGCGTCGCTCATTTTGGTCGGAGTTTATTTGCCGCCTTGTCCTCAGGTTAAAGAGGCCCAACGCATGCTCGCCGATCAGATTCTGAGTGTGGAGCGAGCAAATCCAGATTCGTTGGTTATCGTACTTGGCGACTTTAACAAAGGTAATCTCAGCCACGAACTCCCTAAATACATACAATTCATTAAATGCCCAACCAGAGAAGGGAACACTCTGGATCACTGCTACACTACAGTCAGTAGAGCCTACCACGCCGTCCCCCGAGCAGCACTAGGACACTCTGACCATGCCATGGTCCACCTGATTCCTGCATACAGGCAGAAACTAAAACTCTGTAAACCTGCTGTGAGGACATCTAAACAGTGGACCAGTGAGGCTGTGGAAGATTTGCGGGCGTGCTTAGACTGTACTGACTGGGATATGTTCACGACTGCTACCAATAGTCTGGATGAACTCACAGAGGCTGTGACGTCCTACATCAGCTTCTGTGAGGACTGCTGTATCCCAACACGTACCAGGGTGAACTTTAACAACAATAAGCCCTGGTTTTCAGCAAAGCTCAGAAGGTTGAGGTTGGAGAAGGAGGAAGCGTTTAGGAGTGGAGATAGAGACAGATTCAAGGAGTCGAAGAACAGGTTTAGCAAAGCGGTGAGAGAGGCTAAACGACTGTACTCAGAGAGACTAAAACACCAGTGCTCTACAAACGACGCTGCTTCTGTCTGGAGAGGGCTCAGGCAGATCACCAACTACAAACCCAGAGCCCCCCACACCACTAACGACTCCCGCCTAGCCAACGACCTGAACGAGTTCTACTGTAGATTTGAAAGACAATTGGACTGTCCTGAACCACCCCTTCCAACCCAAGAGGCCCCATCCCCCACCAATACTACAGAGACGACTATCTCCTTTCAGGAGGGAGCAGTTAATAGACTTTTCAAGAGGCAGAATCCACGCAAAGCAGCCGGGCCGGACTCTGTCTCTCCAGCCACCCTCAGGCACTGCGCTGACCAGCTGTCTCCGGTGTTCACCAACATCTTTAACACCTCCCTGGAGACATGCCATGTACCAGCCTGTCTCAAGTCCTCCACCATCATCCCTGTGCCCAAAAAGCTAAGGCCAACAGGACTAAATGATTACAGACCGGTCGCCCTTACATCTGTGGTAATGAAGTCTTTTGAGCGCCTGGTCCTGGCACACCTCAAAGCCATCACAGACCCTCTCCTGGACCCCCTTCAGTTTGCCTACAGAGCCAACAGGTCTGTGGACGATGCAGTTAACATGGCCCTCCACTTCACCCTACAGCATCTGGATGCCCCAGCATCCTACGCCAGGATCCTGTTTGTGGACTTCAGCTCTGCCTTCAACACCATCATCCCTGCCCTGCTTCAGGACAAGCTCTTCCAGCTGAACGTGCCATACACCACCTGTAAATGGATCACAGACTTCCTGTCTGACAGGAAGCAGTGCGTTAAGCTGGGAACACAAGTCTCTGGCTCCAGGTCCATCAGCACCGGAACTCCTCAGGGCTGCGTCCTTTCCCCTCTGCTCTTCTCCCTGTATACCAACAGCTGCACCTCCAATCATCTGTCCGTCAAACTATTGAAGTTTGCGGATGACACCACCCTCATTGGGCTGATCTCTGGTGGGGATGAGTCTGACTATAGGTGGGAAGCTGACAATCTGGTGACCTGGTGTAGCCAGAACAACTTAGAGCTAAATGCTCTAAAGACAGTTGAGATGGTTGTGGACTTCAGGAAGAATACAGCACCACTCACCCCCATCACCCTGTTAGACTCCCCAGTCAAAATTGTAGAGTCCTTCCGCTTCCTGGGCACTATTCTCTCCCGGGACCTCAAGTGGGAATTGAACATCAGCTCCCTCACTAAGAAAGCTCAACAGAGGATGTACTTTCTACGGCAGCTGAAGAAATTCAACCTGCCAAAGACAATGATGGTGCAATTCTATACAGCGATCATTGAATCCATCCTCACCTCCTCCATAACCGTCTGGTACGCTGCTGCCACTGCCAAGGACAAGAGTAGACTGCAGCGTATCATCCACACTGCTGATAAGGTAATTGCCTGCAATCTACCGACCCTCGAGGACCTGCACACGACAAGGTCTATGAGGCGAGCGAGGAAGATTATGGCCGATTTCTCCCACCCTGGACACTCTCTGTTTCAGCTACTCCCCTCCGGCAGAAGGCTTCGGTCCATCAGGACCAAAACCTCACGCCATAAAAACAGTTTCTTCCCATCTGCTGCTGGCCTGTTAAACAAGGCCAAGGGCTAACACTGTTTTTTAACATTTGATCTACATAACGACACGTTGCTGATATTAACTCTGTTTCCCTATTTGTATTTGTATTTTTAAATTATATCTTAAAGCTATTTTATATTCGATATTTATTTAATTTTATATACTTCAGCCCCTTAGTGTTAGACTTTTAACCCTTATTATAGTAAGACTTGTTTAAAACTTATTTAAGATTTTAGATTCCTATATGTTGAATGTATGCACCATCCTGCCAAAGTAAATTCCGTGTCGGTGTGAACTTACATGGCGAATAAAACTCTTTCTGATTCTGATTCTGATAAAAGCTACCATACTGCCTCTACTTGATTACTGTGACATCGTGTATAAATCAGCTCCAAGTACTGAACTGAAGAAGCTTGATTCCATCTATCACTCGGCCTTAAGATTTGCATTGAACTGCCCATATAAGACTCACCACTTTGATCTCTACATTGGGTCAAACTTAACATTTCTTAATGTTCGACGGCTTGTGCACCAGATCTTATTTATTCACGATGTACTTACAAAATAATCCGCAAACTACCTGCTGGATCTCCTCTCTGTTTCAAAGAAAAAAATTGACCTCAGGTCTTCGCTCATTTACAAGCTGCACATTCCCTATTGCCGTACAAAAACTGGAGGAAGGGCCTTTGCTATTGATGCCCCCAGGGTCTGGAATGCTATTGCCAAAAACTGCAACTTGAATCATTACCAATGAGATCTTCACTCAAAACTGCTCTAGAGGAGTTGTACACCCCTAGCTGCCACTGCTATTCAGTGGCCTAAAATAAAATAAAATGTTTCGCTCCGGATGACCACTGCAAAGTATTATCTGTATTTTGATATAGCGTGCTGATTTTAAAGGTGCATTGAAAAATTTGATACTCCGACTGATGCTCCTGTTTTATGAGACCTCCATTGCCAGTAACAAGATATAGTAATAGGTTTTACCCTTTTAACTGACACAAAACTGACACCTTTATTTCAGGCATCATGTTTGCAATAACCACAACACAAGCAGTCAAAATGCAAACAAAAGAGACAACTCTGATAATAATATGCACTGTACTTGAATTTGATTGGTCCACACCCGAGACGGCTTTTCTTAGAGCCTAGTTTGTGCCAGTTAAAAGGGTAAAACCTATTACTATATCTTGTTCCTGCAAAGGAGGTCTCATAATGTAAATGCTCACCCCGAGCCCTCAATACTCTGATAGTGCGCTGTTTTTGAGTTGTACGCCTTTTGGTGTCATCTGGTCCAACACCAGTGGAGACTAGGCTCTAAGAAAAGCCGTCTCGGGTGTGGACCAATCAAATTCAAGGACAGTGCATGTCATTATCAGAGTTGTCTCTTTTGTTTGCATTTTGACTGCTTGTGTTGTGGTTATTGCAAACACGATGCCTTGAATAAAGGTGTCAGTTTTTGTGCCAGTTAAAAGGGTAAAACCTTGATTTAAAGCTTTCGTGACTGCAGTAATTCATATTCTTAGTTTTTTCGGTAAAGTCAACGTGACTTTACCGAAAAAACTAAGAATAGGGTAAAACCTATTACTATTTGATGCTCCTGTTGTTGTGGAGTGACTCATGCAGCCAGCTATGGCTCTCGGGTTTGGTGTTACATGTTATTTATGTAGTTTATTGTGAAAATTCGGTCACAGTTCCTATGATCACTGTTACATTGCTTTTATGGCTTTATGTTGGTGGTGTCGAAAACGTTTTTTGGTTTGGCCATGTTTGTTTGTTGTAGTACGGAGTTAGACTGATGGCCTTAATCTAAGTTTTCTTGTGGTTGTTGTTGTTTGACTTGCATCCCACTGGGATTTTTTGGACACAGCGTTGGTGTACGGTGCTTTTTCAGGAATATTTTGCTGTTTTTTTCCTGGATTATCTGTTTGCACAGTCACATAGTCACTTTAAGATGTTTTCTTGTTCATGTTTTTTTGTTTGTTGCGGTTGCACCCGATTCAAGAGCCGAATGGCTCACAGGGCTATACCAAATAAATGAAACTGAAACTGAAAGAGAGGGAGCAATGGAATACAATCTAAATAAACTTAAACTCAAACCCCGCTCTCTGACGTCACAACTCCGCATTACCTCATCGGCGTGAGACGCGAGGGGGAGGTGTAACCCGCTAGTGACGTCATGTCACCAAGGTATTCACCCAACCCCCCTCTACCGCGAGTTCACTCACTTATGGGCCTAAGTTCATTAACATAATTTATTAATATTCTTAGTTTTTTCGGTAAAGTCACGTTGAAGAGAAACAACAAAATAACAAAATATATATAAAACAAAAAAAAATTCTCACGACGGTCATCATCATGATGACCGTTTGAGTTATGGTCGAAACGTCGTGAGAATTTTTTATTGTTTTATATATATTTTGTTATTTTGTTGTTTCTCTTCAACGTGACTTTACCGAAAAAACTAAGAATATGAATTACTGCAGTCACGAAAGCTTTAAATCAAAATATAATTTATTAAGTTGCACCGCCGCACATTGGGTATGGGAGTTGTTGTAACCCTCTAGTGACGTCATGTCACCTCCTGCTGCCGCGTGACGTCACGAGACACCAGGAAGCTGCCGATCGGGTCTCCTGCGCTCACTGAGATTTGAGGTGAGAAGTTCACATCGTGGTGGTGGTGGTTGTTGTTGTGGTGGTTGTTGTTGTTTACCCAGGTAGAGCCTCGCTCCTCTCTCTCTCGTAGGGATATCAATTGAGTAGCAGCGAGTAATGGAATCGACGTCCAGGTCGGAACATTACAACGCGGGGCCTAGCCATGCGGAGCCTTGCCTCCTGCCCCTCGCCTTGATTGCGTTTGCTTTTATTCTCTCGCTTTAAGTTTAATTTGTCTTCACCTGGCTCGCTGCTTTGTCACTTTGTTTTTCTTTGAAATATTCCTACAGTTTTCTTTGTTTTGTTATCTTTAGTTATCTTTACCAAGGTCAAAGCCCGCTTCAGCTGCTGTAACGCTCTTGTTTTCAGAAGCGACCTGCACACAACAGAGTGGTTTATCAACGTGTTGAAATGCCCGTCGGTCAAATACTCTAAAACGCGTGGTGATGTTCACTCTGAATGTGCAGGGAAAAAAACCCTGGAGGATCCTGAGGGAAAATCCACGCGACCACGAGGAGAGAGACACGCAAACTCCAAATATACATCCTTAATACAGGTTTGTTTGGGTTAGATCGCGTCAATGTGTGTGTGTAGTTAAACCCCTCCACACTCGACACAGCCAACTAGTAGGGGTTGTCACGTTATCTACCGAAATATAGTAGTAACTACTAACTCTAAATAGTATCTACTGACTATAGTAGTATCTACTGACTAGTAGTATTTACTGACCATAGTATCTACTGACAGGAGTATCTACTAACTCTACAGTAGTATCTACTAACTCTATAGTAGTAACTACTGACTAAACAGTATCTACTGACTCTATAGTAGTATCTACTGACTATAGTAGTAACTACTGACTCTAAATAGTATCTACTGACTCTATAGTAGTATCTACTGACTGTAGTAGTATTTACTGACCATAGTAGTATCTAATGACAGTAGTATCTACTTACTATACAGGAGTATCTACTGACTCTATAGTAGTATCTACTGACTGTAGTAGTAGTATTTACTGACCATAGTGTCTAATTACAGTAGTATCTACTTACTATACAGGAGTATCTACTGACTCTACAGTAGTATCTACTGACTAGTAGTATTTACTGTCAGTAGTGTCTACTTTCTCTATAGTAGTATCTACTTACTCTATAGTAGTATCTACTGATCATATTAGTATCTATGGACTCTATAGTAGTATCAACTGACTGTAGTATCTACTGACAGTATCTACTGACAGTAGTATCTACTGACAGTAGTATCTACTGACAGTAGTGTCTACTTTCTCTATAGTAGTATCTACTTACTCTATAGTAGTATCTACTGATCATAGTAGTATCTACTGATCATATTAGTATCTATGGACTCTATAGTAGTATCAACTGACTGTAGTATCTACTGACAGTAGTATCTACTGACAGTAGTGTCTACTTTCTCTATAGTAGTATCTACTGATCATAGTAGTATCTGCTGATCACAGTAGTATCTATGGACTGTATAGTAGTATCAACTGACTGTATTATCTACTGACAGTATCTACTGACAGTAGTATCTACTGACAGTAGTGTCTACTTTCTCTATAGTAGTATCTACTTACTCTATAGTAGTATCTACTGATCATAGTAGTATCTACTGATCATATTAGTATCTATGGACTCTATAGTAGTATCAACTGACTGTATTATCTACTGACAGTATCTACTGACAGTAGTATCTACTGACAGTAGTGTCTACTTTCTCTATAGTAGTATCTACTTACTCTATAGTAGTATCTACTGATCATAGTAGTATCTACTGATCATATTAGTATCTATGGACTCTATAGTAGTATCAACTGACTGTAGTATCTACTGACAGTAGTATCTACTGACAGTAGTATCTACTTACTCTATAGTAGTATCTACTTACTCTATAGTAGTATCTACTGGCCATAGTAGTATCTACTGATCACAGTAGTATCTATGGACTGTATAGTAGTATCAACTGACTGTCGCAGTATTTGCTGGCTAGTGGTATCTACTGACTAGTATCTACTGATTCTACAGTAGTATCTGCCGACTATAGTGGGAACGAGTAACTCGAAAGTAGTATCTGCTTACTCTTTAAAAGTAGCTTCTACTGACTGCAGTGATATCTACCAACTCTACAGTAGTAACTACCGACTTTATAGTCGTAACTACTGACTATAATAGTATATAGTGACTCTACAGTAGTTTCTACTGACTGCAGTAGTGTCTACCAACTCTTTAATATATATCAAGGCCGTAATTATAATATATATTGGGGGGGTTAAAATATGCTCAAAATGTCCCCCCCCCCAATATATTGCTATAAAAATATAAAAAAAAAATTAGTAATAATTGCCATGCTATGTAAATAAAAAGAAGAATTTGCTAAACCTTGGCCACAATATCTGGACTTGTCTTCATATAAATCAATGCATAGATTTCTGTTTATATGATTGTGGTTATGGTTGTACTTTATTAATCCCTAATCTCAGAAATTACATACAATGAAACAAGAAATGGTAAAAAAGTAAAAACAGAGCAATGTAATACAATACACTATTTTACATGATTATAAAAAAAAAAGTCCGTCTCATGTTTTAGTGAATTTTTAAATATTTTTGGCAGGAAATTAGTTTTCAAATTTAGATATTTTTCTGGGTTGGGACCCCCAGACCCCCTGGAATATTTGGTCCCCCCCAATGTTGACTCCATGGCTACAGCCTTGGTATATATCGACTCTATAGCAGTAGCTACTAACTCTATAGTAGGAAATACTGACTTTAGTAATAACTACTAACTCTATAGTAGTATATACTGACTCGATAGCACTATCTACTATCACTACAGTAGTATGTACTGGCTGTAGTAGTAGCTACTATCACTACAGTAGTATGTACTGGCTATAGTAGTAGTTACTATCACTACAGTAGTATGTACTGGCTATAGTAGTAGTTACTATCACTACAGTAGTATGTACTGGCTATAGTAGTAGCTACTATCACTACAGTAGTATGTACTGGCTGTAGTAGTAGCTACTATTACTACAGTAGTATGTACTGGCTGTAGTAGTAGCTACTATCACTACAGTAGTATGTATTGGCTGTAGTAGCTACTATCACTACAGTAGTATGTACTGGCTATAGTAGTAGCTATCATTACAGTAGTATGAACTGGTTATAGTAGTAGCTATCACTACAGTAGTATGTACTGGCTTTAGTAGTAGCTACTATCACTACAGTGGTATGTACTGGCTATAGTAGTATCTACTATCACTACAGTGGTATTTATTGGCTATAGTAGTAGCTACTATCCCTACAGTAGTATGTACTGGCTTTAGTAGTAGCTACTATGACTACAGTGGTATGTACTGGCTGTAGGAGTAGCAACTATCACTACAGTAGTATGTATTGGCTGTAGTAGTAGCTACTATCACTCCAGTAGTATGTATTGGCTGTAGTAGTAGCTACTATCACTCCAGTAGTATGTACTGGCTGTAGTAGTAGCTACTATCACTACAGTAGTATGTACTGGCTGTAGTAGTAGCAACTATCACTACAGTAGTATGTATTGGCTGTAGTAGTAGCTACTATCACTCCAGTAGTATGTACTAGCTGTAGTAGTAGTTACTATCACTACAGTAGTATGTACTGGCTGTAGTAGTAGCTACTATCACTACAGTGGTATTTACTAGCTGTAGTAGTAGCTACTATCACTACAGTGGTATGTACTAGCTGTAGCAGTAGCTACTATCACTACAGTAGTATGTACTGACTGTAGTAGTACCTACTATCACTACAGTAGTATGTATTGGCTGTAGTAGTAGCTATACTAACTTTAGCAATACGTACTGGCTGTAGTATTAGCTATATTTAACTCTATAACAGTGTGTACTGGCTGTTGTAGTAACTATACTACCTGTAAATCAGTGTGTACTGGCTGTAATAGTAGCTATACAAACTCTATAGCAATGAGTACTGGCCGTAGTAGTAGCTATACTAACTCTATAGCTGTGTGTACTGGTCATAGTAGTAGCTATACTAACTCGATAGCAGTGTGTACTGGTCACAGTAGTAGCTATACTAACTCTATAGCAGTGTGTACTGTATGTAATAGCTATACTAACTCTATAGCAGTGTGTGCTGGCTGTAGTAGTAGCTATACTAACTCTATAGCAGTGTGTACTGGCTGTAATAGTAGCTATACTGACTCTATAATTATAATCTCTGGTTCTTTGGTTGAGTCATGTAGATAGACAAATAGTAATACAAATAAAGTTACTAATAAAGTGAATAAAAAATAAAAATAACCATCGATGTAAGCTGTAGCCTGGTTGTTAAGTTTTGTGAATGTACTGGCAGTCTATAATGCAGACTGAAGAAATGGTTATTAATAACCAAGAATAAGTCTATAGACTGCCATTACACTCGCCCAGCTTACTAACCATTGCTACAGTCTACATTATAGACTGCGCGTAAACTCACTAAACTTAATAAGAAACCTACAGTCTACATTATAGACTGCCAGTTCACTCACCGAGGTTAAGAACCAGGCTATAGTCTACATTATAGACTGCCAGTGCACTCAACCAACTTAATAACCATTGCCATAGTCGCATCTTGATTTGAAGCTTTCGTGACTGCAGGAATGCATACTCTTTGGTTCTTTCGGTGAATTCACGTAGGTAGAAAAAATAATAGATCACAACGTTTCGACCGCAACTCAAGCAACCGTCATCAGGTGTGAAACAAAACACAGCAGAAGGATTGCTGACATAGGAGAAAGAGCTGCTGCAACAAGAGTTGCAGCAGCTCTTTGGAGGTTAAATCAAAACAATAGCTTATTTGAGTATCCTCTGGAACTTTTTGTAAGAATGTAAACATATTCTTAGCTCTTTCGGTAAAGTCACCACGTTGAAGGGAAACAATAAAATAATCAAATATATATAAAACAATAAAAACATTCTTACGACGTTTCGACCATAACACAAACTGTCGTCATCAGGTGTGTCGGTTTGGTCGAAACGTCGTGAGAATTTTTATTGTTTTATATATATTTTATTGTTTCCCTTCAACGTGACTTTACCGAAAGAGCTAAGAATGAATTACTGCAGTCACGAAAGCTTTAAATCAGAATGTAAACAGTCAGGAAATTGACACAGCATATATGCTGCTGAAGTTAGATCTGTTCATCCAAGCATTCAAGCAAATCTGAGCCTGGCTTCACACCTCTAAATTGCGATTGAATATTAATTTATGCATTTCTGCATAATACAAATCGTATTATTATCAACAGCCGTTGCTATGTTAGCTGAATTTTGCTTTTATAAATATTGCTATTGTTGCCAGGCAGCCGAAATTGTGTGCTTGATGTTTTGGGTTAATATTTATTTTGAAGATACTAGGGCCTCCGGGCATATTTATAACCATTTGCCCTCTCATTGTGTGCCTTAACAGCCCATAAGATGGATTGGGGAATATCTTGAGTATATGAATAAATATAGACGTGTAAGTCACCTGTGATTGTGTATATGCATTCCTCTGTGCCTCGATACTGACGTAGATGGTGTGGATATTTTTTTCTGTCTGCAGCTGAAACATTCTTCTGACGCTTCATCGGCAGAATTGGTCTGATGGAGCAAAGGCACTCGGCGCAGCCCGGTTCAACAAGACAACAATGGGACCAGGATACAAACAGCATGGATTGTACTGGAAGTGTGACATGGCACCAGAGAACTCAAAGAGGAGATGAACCCTTCAAGTGCACTGTGTGTGAGAAGGCATTTTCAGATTCATCTGTTTTTAAAAAACACCAGAGAACGCACACGGGAGTGAAACCTTTCAAGTGCACTGTCTGTGAGAAGGCATTTGCAGAGTTATCAAGTCTTAAAACACACCATAGAACACACACAGGAGAGAAATATTTCAAGTGCACTGTGTGCGAGAAGGCATTTGCACAATTATCAAATCTTCAGAGGCACCACAGAACGCACACAGGAGAGAAACCCTTCAAGTGCAGTGTGTGTGGGAAGGCATTTTCAAATTCATCTGGTCTTAAGAACCACCAGAGAACACACACGGAAGGAAAACATTACAAGTGCAGTTTGTGCGAGACGACATTTTCAAGTTCATTTTGTTTTAAAATGCACCAGAGAACACACAAAGGAGAGAAACCCTTCAGGTGCACTCTGTGCGGGAAGCCCTTTGCATATTCATCACAGCTTAAAAAACACCAGAGAACGCACACAGGAGAGAAACCCTTCAAGTGCACTCTGTGCGGGAAGCCCTTTGCAGATTCATCACTTCTTAAAAAACACCAGAGAACGCACACAGGAGAGAAACCCTTCAAGTGCACTGTCTGTGAGAAGGCATTTGCATGGTCATCAGATCTTCAGATCCACCAGAGAACACACACGGGAGAGAAACCCTTCAAGTGCACTTTCTGTGAGAAGGCATTTGCATGGTCATCAGCTCTTCAGATCCACCAGAGAACACACACAGGAGAGAAACCCTTCAGGTGCACTCTGTGTGGGAAGCCCTTTGTAGATTCATCGCATCTTAAAAAACACCAGAGAACACACACAGGAGATAAACCCTTCAGGTGCACTGTCTGTGAGAAGGCATTTGCATGGTCATCAGATCTTCAGAACCACCAGAGAACACACACAGGAGAGAAACCCTTCAGGTGCACTCTGTGTGGGAAGCCCTTTGCAGATTCATCACATCTTAAACGGCACCAGAGAACACACATGGGAGAGAAACCCTTCAAGTGCACTCTGTGTGGAAAGGCGTTCACACGGTCATCATATCTTGAAATACACCAGAGAACACACACAGGAGAGAATCCCTTCAAGTGCAGTGTGTGTGGGAAGGCATTTTCAGATTCATCAAATCTTAAAATACACCAGGGAACACACAGGCATCAGAAGATCCCCAAGGAGTGTAGTCTGAAAGTGACTTGTGAAAGTCAAAGTGCTGCAATAAGCCCATCCCTCCTGAAAATAGAACCAGAAGAGAATCCCAGCTTGGACACTATGAAATGTTTCAAGGTGAAATGTGAAGAGGTGACAGTGAAGAGCGAAGAAGTGAAGGTGAAATGTGAAGATGAAGATTCAACTCCAAAATGGGACCTTAACATCGATGGAGGCAACGTGAAGCAGGAGCCGAATTCTGACTGTGAGGCAGAGCGAGGCAACTCCCAGCAGTTTGTGAAAGTGGAGGTGTGGGTGGACTTCTTAGACAATACAAAGTCAAATGGAGACCCTGTAGATGTGTAAGATTGAGACAATGAAGCCCGAATAGATTCACCTTTGTCACAGGCCTTTAATGAAAATAACTCCATTCCTAGGTTCAACCTGCACAGCAAGAGCGGTCAGTATTTGTGGACCTGTGGGTTGGGTAGATCTCTAACTAGGAGATCTGAATTCTGATACCTGATAGAATTACACTAAAACATAACCATTGTATTTTCACAATTGGTAATATACCCCTAGATAATGAAGCCCAGCCTAATTTAAATTAGCATAATTTAATCAAATGTCATTTTTTTCAGCTGCCCCTGTGTGGCATAAGGTGGTCCTGCACCAGGCTGCATGTGGGCATGAGTCTGTTAGTAGGGCGCAATGATTGATGTATGATCTCAGTTGTGTCATTTGTGGGTAATGTTTCGAATTTGCCAAATTTTAACCACAACGCCAGCATGCAATCGCATGCACATTTTGAATGACAATAGTTTGTTTTAGAATCAGATGTTAAGAAGTACGGTGCATATTTGTAATTAATGTTCCTGGACTAATCAGGGATGCCTGTCGGATTTGAACCTTGAACCTCTACCCCTCAATCTGACTACTGTAGGTGTAGGCCTCATCCGACAGAGATCAACTTGTAAATACGATATAACACGATGAAATACATTTCAGTGCAGTAATTACATTTTGTAAATATGCCTATCGATAATTTAATGAATACTTATTCTTGGTTCTTTCGGTAAAGTCACGTAGAAGGGAAACAATAAAATAATAAAAATATATATAAAACTAAAAATTCTCACGACGTTTCGACCATAACACAAACACCTGATGACGACCGTTTGTGTTATGGTCGAAACGTCGTGAGAATTTTAATTTTTTATATATATTTTATTGTTTCCCTTCAACGTGACTTTACTGAAAGAGCTAAGATTATAATGAATACTTGTCTGATTTTGTGCGTACATGTAACATTTTGTCTATAAGGTCAAATATGGAACACGTGATTGTAGGAGAAAGTGTGTGTTTTGGAAGTAACCTATACAGATGTAGTGGAGTAGGAAGGTATGCTGGGGAAACTGCGCGATTGTATTGATCACACGGACAGTGTGGGGTTATTTGGGGGTTAGCCTATGGAAGGCGTAAACAGCGTGGGTCGCCTTAGGACAGGCACGTGCAGAAGCTGAAAGGTGACGTCATCGGTTGGGCCAGTTAAGGTAGACGAGAAGCAACGGCAGTGATTGGCTGGGACTTGTTGGGGAGTCGGAGCTGAAGAGAATTGGGAGTGGGAGCTGAGGAGAGTTGGGGTCCAGAGTTGGAAGCCAGGACAGTGTGTAGAGTTAGCGGAGCTGAAGAAGACGGAGCAGTTAGCAGTGGAGTGAGTGTGGAGTTAGCGGAGCTGAAGAAGACGGAACAGTTAGCAGTGGAGTGAGCGTAGAGTTAGCGGAGCTGAAGAAGACGGAACAGTTAGCAGTGGAGTGAGCGTAGAGTTAGCGGAGCTGAAGAAGACGGAACAGTTAGCAGTGGAGTGAGCGTAGAGTTAGCGGAGCTGAAGAAGACGGAACAGTTAGCAGTGGAGTGAGCGTAGAGTTAGCGGAGCTCAAGAAGACGGAACAGTTAGCAGTGGAGTGAGCGTAGAGTTAGCGGAGCTCAAGAAGACGGAACAGTTAGCAGTGGAGTGAGCGTAGAGTTAGCGGAGCTGAAGAAGAAGCAGTTAGCAGTGGAGAGAGCGTAGAGTTAGCGGAGCTGAAGAAGACGGAACAGTTAGCAGTGGACTGAGCGTAGAGTTAGCGGAGCTGAAGAAGGCGGAGCAGTTAGCAGTGGAGAGAGCGTAGAGTTAGCGGAGCTGAAGAAGACGGAACAGTTAGCAGTGGAGTGAGCGTAGTAATAGAGGAGCTGAAGAAGACGAAGCAGTTAGCAGTGGAGTGAGCGTAGAGTTAGCGGAGCTGAAGAAGGCGGAACAGTTAGCAGTGGAGTGAGCGTAGAGTTAGCGGAGCTGAAGAAGAAGCAGCAGTTAGCAGTGGAGTGAGCGTAGAGTTAGCGGAGCTGAAGAAGACGGAACAGTTAGCAGTGGAGAGAGCGTAGCGTTAGCGAAGCTGAAGAAGACGGAACAGTTAGCAGTGGAGTGAGCGTAGAGTTAGCGGAGCTGAAGAAGACGGAACAGTTAGCAGTGGAGTGAGCGTAGAGTTAGCGGAGCTGAAGAAGACGGAACAGTTAGCAGTGGAGTGAGCGTAGCGTTAGCGAAGCTGAAGTAGACGGAACAGTTAGCAGTGGAGTGAGCGTAGAGTTAGCGGAGCTGAAGAAGACTTAGCAGTGGAGTGAGCGTAGAGTTAGCGGAGCTGAAGAAGACGGAACAGTTAGCAGTGGAGTGAGCGTGGAGTTAGCGGAGCCGAAGAAGGCGGAGCAGTTAGCAGTGGAGAGAGCGTAGAGTTAGCGGAGCTGAAGACGTCTTAGCAGTGGAGAGAGCGTAGTAATAGAGGAGCTGGAGACGAGGTGTGTGGAGACAGAGAAGTGAGATTGGCTTTCGCTGCGTGCGACGACGCTGTATTAGCGGAGGAGCTGAGGAGGATAGCCAGCAGTGGAGAGAGCGTAGGAATAGAGGAGTTGAAGACGTGTGTGTGTGTGCGGAGCAGAGCGACGTGATACTGGGAACCAAAGGTGGTGAGCGAGACGGGCGAAGCACGGCGAGGCGAGCCGCGGTGTCCGGGATACGGTGGAGTGTGTAGAACGTGGGTTTTTATTTTTTTTTATATCTTAAAGCTATTTTATATTCGTTATTTATTTAATTTTATATACTTCAGCCCCTTGGTGTTAGACTTTTAACCCTCATTATAGTAAGATTTGTTTAAAACTTATTTAAGATTTTTAGATTCCTATATGTTGAATGTATGCACCATCCTGCCAAAGTAAATTCCGTGTCGGTGTGAACTTACATGGCGAATAAAACCCTTTCTGATTCTGAAAATAACTCACGTGAGAGCTGTTCTTTTGATACGGGTCAACTGGTAATTTTTCGTGATTGAGGAAGCATCTGCCTCTGGAAAAAGTCATTGTCTTTTGAAATAAGGAACATTCGCATAATTAATCAGTTACAAGGCATGTGACTTAAAAGTTACGTATGGGAGATACATTCTCCACAACGCGTATTCTAATTTTATCACACGTGTGTGGCAGTCAGAGTGATAGCTTTGGGGGGGCAGGGTGTTTCTTTGATTGGGGAGAAGCGAGGGAATCGTGGTGGGGGGGGGGCGTGGCTTTGTGTGAAGGTGGTTGCAGGTGCGTTGGATTGGATTGGCTCGTGCGCACGGGGGGTTTAGACTCGTGGGCACGCAGCGCCAATCAAATGGGGGGGAATGAGCCCAAGGGTGTGATTCAATTAAAGGCCCCGCTATGGGGAACCCAGAGGAAGGGACGGGGAATTTCATTACGCGACTGATCCGGCTCGAGGTGGCTGGGGACTGATCCGCTGAGGGTGGTCTTCTTTGGTTATTTCGGTAAAGTCACCACGTAGAATGAGAATAAAATAATAAATTGATAAAATAAAATAACACAATAATATTCTCACGACGTTTCGGCCACAACACAAGCGGCCTTCATCAGCGCTGTCCTACCAGACAGTCTCGTCCCTTCATCTGATGAAGGCCGCTTGTGTTGTGGCCGAAACGTCGTGAGAATATTTGTGTTATTTTATTTGATCAATTTATTATTTTATTCTCATTCTACGTGACTTTACCGAAAGAACCAAAGAAGATGAATCATTGCAGTCACGAACGCTTTAAATCGCTGAGGGTGGTGTTTGGAGCGGTTTTTGTTTGGTCTGCTCCAGACCCGGGTGGTGCGTCGTGCCTGCCTTCGCTCAGCGGTTTGCTCCCACCGTCGTTTGTGGGTGGAGTAAGTCGGTGAGGCCGCGGTTGTTGGAGTATTGCGTGACTGTGTTGGTTGTTGTGTTGTTGCGAGGGTCATTTGGG